CCCCAAAACCCCAAAACCCCAAAACCCCTGCATAGAATTAATTTCTATTATTATTGATTAATCAGAATTATAATTAAAAATTTTTATTAATGGAAGCAAATCGTACCATTTTTATCCATTTATATCCTTTTATTAGATACAGAAAAGGATGATATCCTCGTAAATTTTCAAGCAATAACAGAATGTTGGGATGTTGATATCGCCTCAATCTATTTAAATGACAATCAATGGGATCTGAATGTAATACATCAGCTTAGATATTTTTTACCGAAATTTTAGAAATCAGTATAGTAATACAACAATGACAATAGTCATGCATAGAATTTCGGAGCAACATCCCAAAACGATCGTCCATTAGGCCAAAATGTACAACATGATGAAGATTATATACCACCTAATGATAGTGTTTACAGACAAGGTAATACTTGGAATATGAATTATTGATTACATAGATTAGTTGATAGATGATAGGCCTCAAGTTAGTTTCTTTGGATTGAGAGATACTTATGCTTATAACAATTAGTATGAGAATTATCAATCTTAATAACCTCTTTTGAACGATTTGTTTGGAGGAAATGTTACTCAGTATGTTTCTGGCAAAGTCAAAGGTGCTAAGAATTTCATAGGTAAAATGTGGGGTTCTTACATGAAGGGAGTATCACCTGGAGGAGAAGAATTTACCTCAAAGATTGATAAAATGCTGCCTAAAGGTGTTTTTCGACCAAAATTTTTGCATGGAACTATGAAAGAAATTGCTGGCCAGAATACAAACTAAAAACCAATATTGTTGTATTTAAGTGGAGATGATGAAATAAGCAGATAATTTGAGGTGTATGTGCTTACTCAAGAGGGAGTTATATCCAGAATGGTAAGATTCAATTTAGTTTAAAATTTAGGATGTCAATTTTGAAAGTTTCGGTTTAAATGCCACTTCAAATGAAGGTATAAGTGTCAAAAAAGCTTTAAATCCAGATACAGTTATACCCTCAGTGTTTATAATAATGATAAATAAAGAGACTAACACATCAGAAATAAGATTTATGCTTGAAGGGAAAAACTTAATAGATGAATCGGGTGATATTTACATAGATTTTCTTTAGAGTGCAATATAATCTCTAAAAAATGAAAAGTTATAAGAATCTTTATCATAAACTCAATAAAGGCAGTTAGAACCTGAAGAAGAGATCAAAGAGAATTATCATTTTTATGAGCACTAGGATGAGGATGAAATTTTAGCGAAACAGCTTTAAAGGGAATATGAAGAGGAAATTCAGCGTGAAGCAGAATAATAATAATAACAACAAAAACATTTCGATGAACAAAGGTAAAAATAGCTTCTCTAATAAAGAGAAGAAGAAGAGAGATAGAGAAAGCAAAAAGAAGTAGAAGATAAAAAGAAAGAAGATGAGCGAATCAAACAACAATTGATAGAATAAAAAGAAAGTGAGTTCAAGGATAAATTAATAAGACTGGGATAAGAGCCTGAGTAAACAAATCCAGAATCGGTATAAATAGCATTTAGAAAACCAAATGGCAATGAACGAATTTAAAGAAGATTCTTGGTTTCAGATCTAATTGAAAAGTTATATGATTTTATTGATACGCTCGAACAAGGCTCGGTTGGTTTCGATAAGCCTGCTAACAAAGATGAAGATATACAATATGAACTAGTTTTGCCTCCTCAACCATAGATAAAAGTTCTCAACGATAAAACTAAAACTTTAAAAGAAGAGAATATAACAAGAAGCGCTCTTATCAATATAAAATAGTTAAATTGACTCTGATAAATAAAAGAATATTGAAAGATTAAACATTAATGAATAATATAATAAATACTTTCATAACGATTAAAATTAATATTTCATTAGGTTTGATCTTATCCTTAAGTTATCTTAATTTAATCACTCATTTGATACTAATCTTAATTATCATCATCACTCCATTACTAATCAACATTATCCTGGTGAGCTATCTATCTTCTGATTCTTTTTGGTATTGCTTCATTTAAAGCCTTCTCCCAATTTTAAGTTTCTTTGTAGATCATAAGTATCTAAATCACTTGATTAATACTCAGGGCTTTTTTTATTATCATTTCCTAACTAAACTCATCTATTGGAAGCCGTTTTGCAATGATTTAACTTTTCTATGATTCTTAGAGAGATGCATACTTTATCACAGTCCTATCAATAAGTCCTCCGATGATGAAATTAGTTTATTCATTAAAATCTAAAAGAGGCTCTGATGCATCAGGGCTAAGGTATATTGTATTATCCCAATCAATTGAATATTTATTCTCATTCAGTTATTAAGATTATTCTATTGCAGTAAGGAGGTTTCTGTCAGTGAAACTCTCCCTTAATGAGGTTTTGTGAAAAACTGTTCCCCAAGACTCACCACCTCTTTATTTGATTTATTCAAAAGTTGTTTCATCATCCATTCCAACTACATGAAAGCTGAAAGGCTATTGATATTTTCTAAGCTCAAACACACTTAGATTTATCTGTGAACTCAAACTCCTTTTCTCAATTATACTCATAAGATCACAATATGCCAAATCAATTATTATCTTCCCATTTTAATCATTCTGGCAAGCTTCTATCAAATTCTTTGCACCATCTTTATGCTTTTGTTTTCTCATTTTTATTTATTCAGTTGTCTACTCATAGGTCAATCCTTCTCCAAGATTATTGATAAAATTTTGCAATTTTTTCTGCTTCTAACCCTTTGCAGGACCATCTTGAGATTTCTTTAGAAGTTTATATTCTAGACATTTTTAGCGAGCTCTCTCCTTTTTCTGTGCTTTGGTTAGCTAATTAGACTTCTTATCTTGAATTTTCTTAATTTACTAGTCATCAAAGACTTAAATTGACATGCTCTCAAGGTCTCCTATTAGTTAGCTATCAGTCTAATTATCTTATGTAATATTTGTATTTTCCATTGACTATTTTAAATTCTTATAATTTTATTTTTATTTAAAGATTAGTGGGGTTTTGGGGTTTTGGGG